AGCTTATTTTACTCCCGTGACCACGGGATCCAGCAGAGCCGTAGTTAAAATAAATTGTAAATTTAACAAATACATTTCGCGTTTTAAATCCGTTTTTTATTTTAATCTGTACTACTCGCGTAAACAAAACGTTATTATTTACTTTTAATTGCATTAAAATGTAATTATACCAGCAATAATCTAATGTATGTACATTTTTAAAGCTTAGTGACAGGCAATCAAGGTAAACTTTGATAGTAGAACATTGAAAATAAAAATGCAACACTGTGCGTGAACTGTCAAACTTATCATCCCATATTAGGCAAAGTATAGGTTTCATTTCACACGACTCACACCATGTTTTTAATTGCGGATAAAGTTTTTTCCCTCTACAATGCCATTTGAGGCCGTCTTTGCGAATTAGAGATGCATTGGTCATGGTGTTTAAGCTCGAAAAAGACAGATCCGCTGTTTATCGACTAGTGACTCGAGCTCCCACTAACGTAACAAACATTTTACTCAGTACATAAAATACTTTAACGGTTTAAAACGCGATATATATTAGTTATACTTATTTGAAAATTATTTTTAACTTCGGACGGACGTTTCGGTTGGTTTGCAGCAGCCGTGGTGACTAAGTGACCCTAAAAAGACCTAGGAAAGACTAAGCAGTTTAACTAAGATAATATATTGCGTTTTAAACCGTTAAAGTATACTATTTATTTGTGTACTAGTCACTTAATTACAGACTAAAAAAATGCCATTATATACGTAATTGGATAGACGGATTAAGCTCGTAATTAATGATCCTTGCTTAATTCATAATGTGTAAAAAGTTTACAAGATGGTCATGCGCATTGATACGCGTTGATAGCCCTCGAATTTATTTACCCGCGCGGGAATTGAACTCAGTCACGACAGCGCATCGAACGTTAAGTCATCGGTTCTTTTGAAAAAGACTTATTTATAAAAGAAAGTTATTATTAACGCACGCGATATACATAAATGGCAAGTTTTGAAAAATTACTTTCAACTAAGTTGGTATTTATATTCCATGTGTTATCGATCGCAATCTGTAACTATATTTTATCAGGTAAATATTAATTTATAATAGATACTTAAAACGTATGTCCTACAATTGTAGATATACAAAATTTAATTTGACATTACCTACCAATATATTTTTTTTACATATAGAGGACAGACAAGCAAGGGGTTTGGAAGGAAATACCCCAGCCATATAACATCTACACAAGATGCGTTGTCGGCCTATTTTAGCTCTGGATATTCAAAAATCCTAAGACTGAAATCGAAACACGAGTGAACTTCACTGCTTCATCATCTGTGTTGGGTGGATTAACCGGACGGAATTTAAATATGTATATAATAATATCCAGATTACCAGACGAAGTCCAAAGTTACATATTGAAAAATTAGGAACATGGATGACCCGGTGGGAGTCGAACCCACGTCCCGTTGATGATTAAATACATAGCTACTATTAGACTAACCCGTCAAAAATATTACAGAGGGACTACTTAATTCAAAAAAGGAACTTCAAGTGTATAATTTATTTAACGAATTTGAATTAGGTTAAAAAATTATGGTTGAAATGTTTCAAGTATATATTGTATACATTTTTAATTAATCGTTAACGACACATAGCTTGTCCAATCTAAATAATAGCTGTTTGTATTCCGTGACTTAGAACTAATGAACTAGGAGGTAGAAAAAACATCTACCATTTTGCAGTTAACGACTCCCGCCTACTGTTTTAATTAATAAACGCGTTTTTGCTATTTTCGCAGACGAACAAATAGTGTGGGCGTCGGTGGTAATTGGCTGTAATCTAATAAGTGCATACATATATTTTTTATCGATGATTTAGTCGCGCGTCAGTAGTTCAATTTGATAAGGCTGTGGTCTCCTATAAAAACCGTACACTGGAGATTGAACGCCAAAGACGCCACGGCATTAGTTAACATTGCTAACGTCAACTTTGACGTTTTAAAAGTAATAAATTAAAATAGAAATAGTTAATCGTAGGAGATAAAAACAGTGCCATGGCCGCTGCAAGAGCAACGTCGGGCCGTAATAAAAATAATGTTCAAATACGTTCACTAATATATTTCGCGTTTTAAACCGTTAAATTTTTGTTTAAATGTGTACTACTCGCCTAAACTACAGACAGTGTATAACAGGATAAAATCACAACAGTTATCTCAGTAAGCGGCGTTGACCAAGTTTGGTCGCCGCCTAAGACGCAGTCAGGTGTACGAACAGGTTAATAAAACAAAACGGTTATCGCTTTATTAGTAGTACGTTTGATCTGTTACCCCTTATTGCATATTTGAATATTAATGATCGCAATGAAGACGTGGAAAAACTTGTCATCGCGACAGAACTTCCGTGTACATAATAATTTATATTGTTTTCAATCGTTCAATATTTTATTAATAGTTGATATCAAAACATTACAATATGGACACTGACACTCTTGTTTTTTTATTTATTGCAAGTAGCCTTTACTATCCCGGACATTTTTATCAACTATTTAAGAAGGAATATTTGTTTCATACATGTTTTTTGGGTGGGTATCTTGAACCATTTTCCCCGTCCTTCCCACATTTTCTACTGCTTTTTCACTTCTATTAGTAGCAGAATGATTTATATAACCTAGAACAGTTCTTGATAAATATTTCAACCAGCACAATATTTTTTCAATTCAAAAGTAGTTCTAGATTAGCGCGTTGAAACAATCATCAGCGGATATTAGTATAGATTGGTTACACTTACGCTATTAGAACCACTTTTTTAACCACGTTTTTCCCTTTGTTTAAACACACTTCTAAACCGATGACTAAAACTTATTTAAAATGGTTAGTTATGCTTTGTTTGATATTTTAGCATGTCCTGTATCATTCTCACAGAATAAACGTTCTGAACCACATCAGGTAAATGTCATGTAAATAACCCGAGTCCAAGAAGTGGGACAATTCCTCAATATTAACTCAACGGTATAAAGGTGTTCTCACGGTTGCGTGTTGGGACCACTTATTATTGCTTGTTATTACCGTCCACCGTCATTACCCACCACTCGATATTGTCAGAAAATCAATCTTTGGGTCTGAGACATCACGACATTTGGTTCGACGTAAAAATCCATAATATTAGCTCATACCAAAATGAAAAAAAGCAACGTTTTTTTCATTTAGTTTCAAATTATTAAAGTATAGGTACTTTATTTGTATAGATTTGTTCGTAATATTGAAAATGGCGTTCTTTCACTTCGAGTCGCTGCTTCAGAGTAAGAATGTGGATTATTATTGCATTGTTATTTGTAACATTTGATAATCTGGATGTTAAAAATCGTAACCTATGTCGGTAGACCTCAAAAGTCTCTAGATATTCTGTTGTCTGTACGGTAGTGCAGCATATCAGCTCTTTTATTATAAACTTAGTATTGCAAGTTTATATATATAGACTTTTAAATAAATGATTTATATTCTAGTAACGTAGATTTTTAAAACGTTGATAATAATGATATTAGTTTTCCTCAATCCACTTGAGTCTAGATATACGCAACAATATTAAGAATCGTCCTAAAACAATAGATTTTCACGAAAAACAATTTTTAAACATTCAAGGAAAATCTCGCACGAAACACGTGATTTAAAAACTAAAACAAAATGGCGGGCAGCATTAACAAAAGCGACACGTATTAAAACTATAAATCGAAGTCGCGGTACGCCTGGGAGTGGCTTGACCTATTCCTCCCACCCCCCTTTTATATAACAAGGGAGGGGAATCTCGATTCTCTGACGATAGTCTCCGCACAGGATGCGACGGACAAGGAGTCGGGAACAAATAAAAGGATAAGGCTCGGAAAGGAGAGAACATAAAAATGTATTAAACAAAACATAAGTGCGGATTTGAAGTTGCCATCTGTGAATTTGTTGCGCGCATTTTTGGTGCACCCTTGTCCAATATTTACTAGTACTATCTAGCATTAAGGCTCTTTTAAGACTACGAATTAAATATAATAGTTCATAGCACAGTATCGCACGGAATATATTATTGTAAATACGTTTACATTTTACATTGTCTTACTGCTAAATTAAATATCGATTTTATTTTGAGAAAATTTCCGACACGGGCAGATCTCGAACTCGAACCGGTATCCACAGCGTGCTGTTGCTCTAATTAAGCTACCTTAGCACTCAATGGATGCCGGTTCGAGTCCTGAATGTGTCGTAGTTTTTTTTTTCAATCTAAAATCGATTTTTAATTTATATAATGCCAACATGTGCAATAACATGTGGACGATATTACAATTTTCAAATGGCCTACTAATGTGTGCTATGAACTGTTAGGTTTTTGGACAAAAGCCCACAGAATGCACTAAGTCTAGCTAATCAATACGTTTAGGAATAAGAAAGTGGATGGCAACCCGGTGAAGCGTGTTAGACGATCATTAAATGCTGACAAATTGCAAATGATCACCTAAATGTTAGCGAAAGCGTAGCTCAATTGTAACAAAGTTCGACCAAAAATATCTTTTGTTCTCGGCGGTTAATCGCTCGGGTTCACGTTTAATAGCTATCGTATTTGATTGATGGAGCGTTTGACAAGCACTGATAACGGGCAACGCTAACCGCCCGGAAGATTGACTCGAAGGGGAATGCAGCGGAATCCCGATTTAAACGTGCGTAACGAGCTGCGACCACTCTTGCCGACGGCTTTCGCAACTAAGCCAGTTTGGTGGCAGCTCAATTGAGCCATGGCTCAATGATCTCTAAGCCATCATTGCACCATGCACATCTTAAACAAAAATATTTTAACACCTGTACAACTCAAGAGCATATTTTTTTCATATAAAAGAGGACAGCCCCATGCTGTCACTGTTCACTTGGTGCAAGGTGACCCCAGCCATATAACATCTATAAATTTTAATTTCACTGTTGTAACCGGTTTAAAATAGTTTTATTCAATGCGTCGCGTACGGATACTGTGATAGATACCTTTTTTAGGGATAAGTGACTTCAGGAGCATTATGGCGGCCTCGTCACATGCCCACGCGTGCATCTTCCTGTAGGAATCCCGGCCCTTCTCGGTCAATTTGTCCCAGGGCTTCGGTTTCGACAGCAGTTCTGATACAGTGCCTTGGGAGAGCCCCAGTACGTATTTCGCGAAGAGCCTCTGGCCAATATTGTGCACCGAGAGCAGTTCTCTAACACGTCTGCTGATGTGCAAGGTGTCCAGATTGGAATTCGCATATTTGTCCATGTTGTATCTTAGCATCTCTTGCAATCGCGCTTCCATCGGGTCGCCCTTGGGTATCAGCGAGTCGCCCAGTCGTCCGACTAGCGCTCCAGGTGGTAAAGGGCCCATGTCTTCAGCGAACCGGTAAGGCCTGTGCTCGTCGAAGCGGAACGGGCTCGGGGGCGGTAGCGGTAGAGGTACCGGGCCGTTGTTGTTGTGATGTGTTGTGTTGTTGTTGAGCGGTGGCGGCGTTGACGGCCAATCTTCAGCACCTGCGGTTATTATCACGGTTAGGAGGAGGGGTGGGGTGGTAGAGGGGGGCGGGGAGGGTTCACGTACGCCCGTAAGCGTCGTACGGCGTACGAGTTGTGTAACTGTGTGATGTTCGCGTCGAACTAGCGCGTTACGCGCGTCCGTGAGCCGCAGGTGGTGGAAACGAGGGCTACCATGCCGAAAGCTCATTTACGGATACGTCAAAGTCTCTAGCCATATGGATTCAGGCGATTCGGAAAGCTAGCCCTCCTTGGATTCCATTACACGGATGCTAAACCTACGGATGTCGTTCTCAACGGTACTTACCTGTTTCTCTTCGCTCTGTGCTTCTTTCTCTTTCTGCGGAGCTGCGTTCGTCGCGTGAAGGTTGAGCTGGCGAACGTAGGGGTTCAGTTTTTCGTTCGCGCTCCGCTATCTCCATAGAACGGAGTAAACTGTAACAAGGAGAGGTTGATTTTAGACTAGGGAGTCCATACTGTCTCTTTATTTATTTGTATTAGAGGGAAAGAGACGAAATTGAATTTGAAATATAAAACAATTGGTAGCGATCGCCTACAGTTGTTATACATCAGTGTAGGAATTAAAAGACAAAAATATACACAGAGGATAAGGTTACAGTACCACCAATTTTGTAATAGGTTGATAAAAGTTTCTTACTGATTCTGGTTTCCGAAAATGTCTTTCGGTGGTGGTATTGTGTGTGGGCGCTCAGGAGCTAGCTCCGAGAATCGGAGCATGCTGGAACAAGGAAAACATTGCTTTAAATACGCCCGACTTCGACCATCATAAGATTATCCAGGGATCCAGCCTAGATTAATTTTAAAGGATTAAACGATCTATCGAATAAAATATCCCCGATATAAATTACTTAACAAACGGTACGCTATCAGGACCATTATCAGAGCGGGTTCTTATCAACTAATACCCTTCCGTACCTCGGGCGCTGAGGGTTCAATCTCAATAAATTTATGAAAGGAATATTACCAATAAGGACACCGGCATATCGTATTAATTAAAATACTTAATTAATTCACCTGGAATGGTTTTAATCAATTCCTGCTCAATTTATTAAGGGCCCTCGCTCTAATTATTACTTTGATTCCTTTTTACAATATGGTGACATTGCGCTGTTGTTTTTCATTGATACTACTCACTAATAACTCGTAACGGTTAGATTTATTTCCATAATTGAATGACACAATTCGTCTTTTATTTACCAGCGCTATTAGAACGCCAATTAAAATCAATTTGAATGAAATATGCGAGAGATATCTAAATAGTCCGTTACCTGAGCTATTTCCTTGGATTTCAATGAAACTTTCGTTGTGTCAAAACTATACAATTGCAGTCGACCCACCTGGGACAGCACGACCGATTTTAATGGCGAGCAGTTAGCTATGAAACAGTGGGAGCGATCGCCGACTAAATTTAAGCCGTTTGTACCCCGATCAAAGGCATAATTGGCGATATATTAAATTGTAATTAAAGGTAGCATATTGTGAGAGGTGTTAAACGTTTGAAACCAAACTATAGTCGACGGCGCAGTTCAACAAGTAGTTTGGTGACTTTGGAGCTTACTTAATTAAGATTGCGTTATTTTAACGCAGGTTTCTAAGCGCGCGTCAAATATTTTGAAAATATAAGATAGTTAACATATGAATTGTGTAGAAATGTTCTTTTCTTCTTCTTGTAAAGTTCGTTCGTGAAAATTTTGCGAATACTTACGTTAATCGACACAGCATGTGACTAACATATAAAAAATACTTGGTCGGTACAAAGGATTTGTCTGTTTATGGTCTTGAGAACGATATTTGTACCAATAAAACTTTTTTGCAAATGTAATAAGAAATAAACAAAATAAAAGATAAGACCCTCCTCAATTACCCCCTTTCAAGAAAGAAATACAGAGCTGTACCCGTTAATTAATAGAACACAATGTGTGTTTGTTAATTTATTCTGAAACAAGCAAGTAGGTATAGGAAGGTTTTGTCTCGTAAAATATTCAATGCGCCAGTTTCTGAAGGCTTTCGGACGAAGAGATAGATGCTTTTAAGCTTACACAGAACAAAGAAATGGGTGGAGTTGATCGCGTTTTTTTATCATAATGTTCCACTCAAACTGTGTGGATGTTTTCCTAAAAATCGTCCATATCTTTTTATAATCAAAGTAAATGCAGAACGATAAATTAAATTTTTATTTAGTTAAACATATTTGCAGCCGACTACCATGCTGTGTCTGTTAGCGGCAACTAAACTATGATTTTTATATATAAAATATAAGTTGTCTCAAAATGTCTGTCACTTTAAATCACAGAAACGTTAAGAATTTGTGCTAAAGCTATATATATTTAACACTGTATATTTTTGTTTATTCTAGACTCCCTAAAAAGACAGACTAGACTAAGTCACTTTATAAGTTTCGAAAGTTGGTGACTCTATGACGTAAACGTGAAATAGAGTGAAGACACCAAGTTTTACCTCAACACACTTATAAAGTTGCATTTCAATTATGCATCAGTCGGTTAATATGACACGCGTATTTAGGACAAATGATAAAGATAGTAACAAAACATACTTTAAAATCTTTCAACAAAAAAACCAAGTCTCAAATTTAACCTGGAATTTGTATTTATGCTCTAATTAAGCTATATGTTCTTCCTTGAGATGTTCGAAATTTGAAAATTCTTCACAGTTTTAACCTCTTGTGTGATTTTGAACTTGTCATCTACTGTTCTAAAGGCAACAAGTATTATTTTTATCATCGATAATATGGTTAAATTCGCAGGTTGTGCCAACTTGAATAGACTAATCACAATATGAAATCAAAGTTTCCAGACGCGTCTTTCACCCACCATTTACATTGATTGGGAAAAACTTCAACAAGAAATCATTCACACAAAACATTGCGCTGAACAATAGCAGATAGCCAATCCGAGAAACAACTCCTTATCAGCTCCGTTATCTTCATTCAGCCTGTATTCCCATCGATACAATGACTATCGAACAATACAATGACGTCAGAGGCCTTATCATTCAAATCATCGGCCGGCGATAGCGACCGCCCCGCCCAATAGCCCGCTGTCCAATCACGAACCGATCGATTGGTCAATACAAAAACGCCTTTCCGAACGCATCGGCTGTCAACACACCGACAACGTGTTCCAAATTCAAATCCATATTGACACGACATTTCCCAGTACGGGGCAAACAAAATAAAAAAGTTAACGTCTCAAAAAATTTCGGGGAGCGTAAATTAGTTGATAATTTGTGTGCGACTAAACTTTCGTTAAATATAAGTCAAACATCGCCTAAGCAAATGGAGACAGGTGTCCGCGATAGGCTTATTGATATGTACAAGTATGTATGTGTATTTGCCCTGCCCCGGGTTATATGTAAATCGTGTGTGTTTAGTTTTTAATTAAACAGCAGATAAGCGGCGCGGTGCTATTTGCTTTTTTCAGTTTCTTAGTGCGTCAACATTGTTAAGTTGAAAAGTTAAATCCGTCGGCTGCATTTCACTGTGTTCCTTATTTTTATGACTCTACAAACTTTTATTCTGTGAATACTAACTGCGTATCTTAAACGTGTAATTGTTGACATAGAGCAATAAACAACTTAAAAGTTCGTATTCGAGGGACTTTCCTTTGAAAAGAATTAACATTCACTAAACTTGACAGCGTTCTTTATGTATGTTAGCCGTAGAAGATTTACGACGACCTAACATAACGACGTTATCTCAAAATTTTGAAGCTCACAACGAACAAACAAAGTAGATAGAAGGGAACGGAATCGTTGATTCAATTTAAATTTCGAATCTTAGAATCGCAATCAAAATTCGAAAATGGAACATTTGATCAACGCATTAGGGCGAGATTTGTAGCGTCTAGAAATCAATCTATCCCCCCATTAAGCTTTAATCTTCAGAGGTTGGCAATAACTTAATCCCGACTTGAGAAGCGGTATAAATAAGCAATAAACCGCTACAGGTGCTCCGAACGGTTTCTATTGAGCACAGATTAAATATAGAAGATATTCGCCACAGATTATGTTGGATTATTTTTTGGATATAATAGAGTTAGTCTGTTGATCATGGGAACATCGACAAATGCTCGCGATCGCGTGTCCAGGGCAATAATTGAAACGGGGAGGCTTTTCTTTTTCTATTGTGTTCGGTATCTATCAGTTTCCGTGTAAGTCGATAGTTTTCTGATGTCAAAAGGAACGCGAGGGTGAAAAGCACGAATTCATACAAATAAAACTAGAAATTGAAGGTGATTTGTGGATTTTGCACTAACTCCGCGCGAGCACTAACGTGTTTATGGATTCGTGTTTGACATATATTTATATACAAGTTGATACCAACTTAAAGTATCAATTGAATAATTGTTTAATTTATATATACACGAAGAAATACCAATATAGTACGATTAAAATATTTTTTCTAGGGACTCGAACCTTGTAACTAACAGCCAGTCACACTGAGCCATGTATTCCATAATACAGTAGTAATCTGCATTAAAATTCGTCGCTCATAAATTCTCACATCAAAAGTCTATGTTTACAATATAGCACAAATTTTTCATAGTTATCGATCGATTAAGATAAATATAGTGTTTTTTATTAACGATGTTTGCGCAGGCGCTATTTTATGTCGCATCTGTCGGTGTCTTTGATGTCACACATCCTTTGATGGATCAAAGCGGCCGCCCATCGGTCGCCATATTGGTAAAAATAACACATTAAACTATGAAAAACATTGGTTACGAGTTATCGGCTATTTATAATCTTTCGACGCCGGTGTCGCGTTGGGAAGGCAATAAAACATTTAGGGATGTATTAAATTGGTAATTACGACTTCTTACTACTGTATTCCGAGAACTAGACTATACGGCGCTTAATTATACGGATTCATAATCATTCCAACCGTTTCAGGTTTGTATAAAATATAGTTACGAGACTAATAATTTTCGTTACTAAAGTTATGTGTGTATGTCTATATATAGTCGTTTATCTATACAACGATAATTATCTTGATAAGACTTATTAAATAAAACACTTTTAATATTCTAAAACGCGAAATGTACTAGTTAACTTATTACAATGTAAAATGTATTTTAACTACTCAGACTTAGTGAGCTAAAATAAGGAAACTAATACATTTCGTGTTTTAAACCGTTAAGTGTTTTATTTAAGTGCAGACTACTGACAATACTTCTGTTTCTCCTATTTTCATTAATTTCTTATTAAAAATATAAATGTCAGAAGGTAAGAAATAATCTATCTAGCGCTAAACGTTTTGTTTACAGTTCATATTTTATGCAGCTGTCTTTTATCAATTAGGGTCCAAAGTTTTGAATGGCACTCCCAACTATTTGCCAAACTAATTATTGAAATCTTATCCGAGATTCTCACATTTCTTAGTAATCGGTTCTTGGTAATCGAGCGGAAGGTGACATCCTTTGATAAGGCTCATCTATTAACTAATTGTATAAACAAACCGATTGATAAGGCGATCACCTGACGCGCTATCAAATATCGACTTAACACTGCGTCAATGTGATAATTAAGGTATTTTTGGGGTTCTCAAACTGGGGGATTACTCGAAGTGATTCCATACCTAAAACTTATATCACTTTGGAAGCTCCTTTAAAGGTTGATTTTTGGAATTGCAAAACGTGGATAAGTTTTTAAATAGTTGTGTGTATTTTGTATATTGTATTATAAATTTAGTTTTTTGTTTAATAATTGTGAAAGTTAGGAGAACAGTTTTGTATAATATTTACTTTCAGTCAATAAGTTACTGTTTATAGTTCTGGGCAAAGATGGACAGAGATGGACAAACACTTTTAATACAATTTTGGTATTTCTAGTCTTCAAAAACTTAATGATCATTAATTGAAATGTTTAATATCTTAATATAAATGTTTAATATCTTTATAGTTGTTAATATTACTGTTATTTACTTAGCATTTACAAACAATTGAACACTTTTGGGCATAGATTGAGTTTTCTCGTCCCTTGTCCGCAATTAGAAACGATTGTATGACACCATATGTCTTAATACCGCTACACAAACAGTTTGAAAGAAAGAGTTGTCCAAACAAAGTTCCTTTGAATGACTGAATTGGGTGATTTATTGAATGTCAGGGCACTAAAAACCTCCAGTTTTGCCGTTCACGAATGTTTTCTCGTTTATAGCTGTGTGAGTTTACAATGAACTTTAAAAGCACTATTTTGAACTGAGTATTTTAGTATACAACAGTAAATTTAAAAATCAGTCCTTTTATCAGCTAGTTTCGGCAAATAACAACTACGAAGGAACAGATGGCGCTAGCGTAGCACTTCTACTTTGACATCGAAGACAAACCTAGATCTTCCCTCCGTGACCACGGCTGCTGCAAAGCATCCGAAAGGTCAGGCCGTAGTTTAAATAATTATCCAATAAGTTTCACTAATATATAACTTTGTTTTAAACCAAACAAGTGTTTTATTTAAATGTGTTTAGGTACGTCCAATACAATAGTATAAATAGCGATAAATTGTCGTAATATTTTAGACTGCTTAAACTTCGCGATTTTAATAGTAACACATTTCACTTGGTCACAAGGAAAGTAATAATGCCACCAAATTAGCATCTTAACACGCTATTGCATATATTATATTCTAATCATATGTGTTATGCTGATAAACATCAAATTTATATACATTGTTCGGCTGTATAATATAGTATGAATGTGGATATTTTATTGTTACTGTGATTTCTACAAACAAATATAACGTATGGTCTGTTACGCAATGCGGTTACAAGCGTTTTTCTGTGCCTTATAATTACATTATGTTTTTTTTTAAATACTGTCTGTAATTTACGCCAGTAGTACACATAAAAAAATCTTTAACGGGTTAAAACGCGAACTATGTTAGTTAGTTAAATTTATTGACAATTATTATTATTAATTAGCTACAGCCCGGTGTTTTGGATGCTTTACAGCTGCCGTGATCACGGGGAGACCGGGGTGGAGGTGGTTAGGGTTTAGTGTTTTATGTAAACGTGCTTTACATTTGAAAAGTTCTTACTAAGTCTCTCTTAAAAACTCTTTTTAAAACTTAGACAATCTTTAACTTTACTGAAGTCATTGATTTTAAAGAATATACTTCTTACATCTATCTGCTTTGTACCTTTATTACTTTTTATCATTTGGACCTTTTGTCAAAGATACTAACCAAGTTAAGTTAAAGTCTCAGAAAATTCCGTTATTGTAATGAAAAATACATAGTAGGACATTTACTTTTGAAAACCGAAACGGTGGTTGGTTTTTTGTCATCACGACATTCCCACAAATATATCATCTATACGCTAAACGTTTCAAGATATGGAATTTAGCAGCCTACCCCCGTGTTTGCCTTTTATATTGATTTACTAAATCGCTCCCAGGGTACCTTGATGTGTTTTTTTTTTGTTTCCTGTTCTCCAAAATGTGGGAAATTTAAATATAATTATCGATATGATAATTATCAGCTATATTTCCGATAAGTCATTGTTTGCGACTTTTAATAATGTCCTAAAACTTCAGTTGGAATGATTTTGCAAAATTTTGTAAAGTTAACTTACTGTCTTGTAACTTGTCTGAGACTCACTTTATATAGAACAATATTTATCGTGAACAATGTCTTTAAATCATTTGTGTAGGTATGAAATGGACATGAAAAATTGATCTTATCACCGGTATTAAAAAAATGTATTTTAATTTGAATAAAACACTTTAACGGTTTAAAACACGAAATATATTAATTATATTTATTTGAATGCTTTGCACCAACCGGGGAGACACATCCGGCTGTATTTAAATAATTTTCAAATAAGTTTAACTTATAGGATATTTCGCGTTTTAAACGGTTAAAGTGTTTTTATATGTGTACTGATCGCGTAAACTACAGATAATATTTATTTGTTCCATTTTACAAATTATCATCGATTACATTTAAGGTTATAAAAATGTAAGCAGTTTATAATAAAAAAAAAAAATTTTTAGTTTCAGCCTGGGTCAAATAAATTTCCCATACGGTACACAATCGATCTTTTTTACGCCGCACCGAGTTCAGTAATCAGTCTAGATACCCATTGTTTATAGTTAGAGGCGCCTTCCTTATCGTTATCAGTCAAAGGTAGGGTCAGCAAACACAGCACTAAGATCACTGCCGTTTTGAAACTGCAGCTTTCTCTATTTATCTTTAGTCATTTGTATGATTCTTTGTTAATACGCTTATTAGTAAGAAAATCAAATAAGAAAGTTCTAGAAATTACAATCCTATAACAAACAATGGTCGTGGAATAAATAGTTAAATAAAATATAATTAAGTATTTAATAAGACACTTTTATGTCTGTGTGAAGTTACAAATAGGTTATGTAATTAATATCGTGTTTTAAACCGTTAAAACTGTTTTATTCTTTAAATATTCTATAAAAAGGTTAAAAGTTGATATCAAATCTACGAGAGTTCTGAAGATGAATTAAAAAAAATCTTGCCTAGCAACAAGGATCAAAATGCCTAAAATAGATGAAAAGCGAAGCGTGTGTTAATAAACTTGATAAGACCGGGGTCAATGTACCCTTTGTTTGTGAGAGATGTTTGTCTCTTGGGCAACCGTGATGCATAGGCCTTGAATACGAGGCTGCGATAAAATGCATAGCGTTATAGATTCCTATGAACCAAGCACCTTTTCTTCAACATGAAGCTGAGACAACACGAAGAAAAGAGACAGATATATATCTGTGTCTTTCCACTAGATTTGACGGGCTCTTTTGTGAAAGGATAGCAAACCCTACCAGGTCCAATATGGCTCGTTACCGTCTATTTAAATGGAGTGGGAATATCGAAATTCCGTATAAGGTCTACATAATAAAGTCGTCCTTTATTCCGTATTAACGTAGCTAAAATAAGTCGACAACACATCTTGTTTAGATTTGGTATGGCTGCGGTATTTCACCTACTATCAAGTACCGTGCTTGCCTGTCCTTCCACTCATTATGAAAAAAATCGATTTCATTTACAGACAAGTATAGTGTTCAAATTATAAGTTACTTATACTACTTTCTTAAGAAGAAAAAGCTATAAAAAATATTGTGCAAATGACAGCTTACATTCGCAATATACAACACACACATGTAAGTGATTAATAACGCAACTAAATGACGAAAGAGTAACGAGTTGATTTAACTTAATGTTAACTTTTCTGTACCGTATTGTGTAGAAATCTTAATATCAATATTAGATCTTGTATGGTAATCGCTGTGCAAGCTTTTATGCGAACGCAACTGTTTGCTACTTTAAGATCTCTCAGGTATCTGTTTACGCGTTGCATCTTAAATGAAACACTTTTTAACTGGTTAAAACTACGATCGAAGAGCTGCTCAAAAGCACCTGAAGCGTAATAACACAGTAAAAAGTATTAAATGTGATTTATTGTAGAACCATTAAATTTATTATCCAATCTTGAATTTAAAATTTTAAAGGCTTTTTAAAATTAAATAAAGTTCTCCAACTTAATATTAAACCAAGACTTACCTGATCTCCCGCTTAATATCATCGTAGTCCCGCTGTGTATCGAGTCTAGCTTCCAGCCTGGCTATGTGCTGCTTCTTCTCATCCAACCTCTCCTCCAGCCTTTGTAATTGTTGCGCGTGCGCTTCCTGTAATGCCGATAGCGATGCCTGAAGTCGCCTCACGTCTTCAACTAACTGGGCAATCTGGAAAGACGAAATAAGCTTTTAAAATTGAGCCCTTTATAGATTTTTTTTAATAGAGGAGGACAGAAGCAAAGTTCACTTGATAGTAGCTGGAATACCCCAGCCTATAGCAACTAAACAAGATGCGCTATCGACCTATTTTGGCTTTGGATATTCGGAAATCCACAGACTGAAACCGAAACGTGATTAAACTTCAAGGCTTTTATCTGTGGATGGTGGTTCATGGCCCGGACGGTTCGATATTCCTACCACCCATTTAATATTCAGATTTCCAGAAGTCCAGCGTGTTTCAGAAAAATTACAAATTGATTAGAATCATGTTGGACCCGGTGGGGATCGAATCCAAAACCAGAAACTTACTAATAAAGTCATGACGTAATTCCTTGTTTCATAATATGTCATATGGTTCTTTGCATCATAGGAAATAATAAAAATGAACAAACATAATAAATACGTGTATTATCTAGTGTACAGTATGTATATATGAAAAATCCGTACAATTAAATCGTAAAGGAAAAATCGTATTCATTAGGAGATACGTCACAATATAACGCCTAAACAAACATATGTGTCTCTGTACTGTAGTAGTTAGTTAGAGGTAAAAATTACATTATTTGGTTCTCTTCAACGCTTATGAGTAATTCTAATGTTGAAAAATTCATAATTTCAGTTCTGACTCATCTTTATCTATGGCTTATGACGTCATAATTCTCCAAATTTGAGTAAATAATGGCTATATAGATGTCATATGAAAAATATTATGTTTCAAAGATATAAAAGAGTTGAATAATATATATTATATATTGTAAAGAAGACGGTTTGTGGGTAGTTTTAATACATGTTTAATTTGAATTACTCAGATACTTTAACAGTACCGAACAGGTGGCAATAGCGCAGCAGTTTTTCACATTGACGTAAAAGATTAGTGAGAAGTCTCCCCGTGACCACGGCACTGCAAAGCATCTGTAGTTAACATAATTTTCAAATAAGTTTAACTAATATATATCGCGTTTTAAGCCGTTAAAACTGCTCATTTATATTATTTTATTATGACGACGTCATAATAATCATTCGTCGATTCAGGATCACGGATACACAAGAGCTGGAACGTATAATTGTCTGACCTTCGGAAGATATCAATTGTTGCAGGTGCCGTCCGCACTCGACCGTGAAGATGCATATCGGATGCAACGGAAGTCTGCCGTACAGTGACGCATCTAGTATATATTGCGCTGTGTAACACATATGTATGTTCTGGCCTTAGATTTGCAAGACTGCTAGAATTTATCTGAATGTGTCCAGACCGTTCCAGGCACGTTATTTTGTATCTTAATAATAGAATCGGTTTTATCAACAAAAAGGAAGCAATATTTATAGTCGGAATAGGTTAATGCAAGACGTTGTAAATTTTATCAAGTAACAACAAAATTGCTTTTATACTTACGTACGTAAATAATATTCAGAATGGTTTTTTTGCGAGATTATAGTTAAAACAGCAACACACATTTAAAATAGGGCTAACATTTGAGTGTCGTATAGAAGATACGGTTGAAAAACATTACCATCCTTTAAAATTGGGTAAAAATAGTTTTGAATACGCAATCAGTTTTCAGCGTCGTATCCTTATATTAATATTGACCAATATCAGCCTTGAATTCTGAGAAGTGAAGCTATTTAGTACATATACAATTAAAACAATAAAAAAGAATGATAGACAAGTTAATCCCACTATAACATATAATAATGAACCATATCGCTATTGTTTACAGTTTTTAATTCTTTAAAAATGATCCGCTATCAAGTTTGTCAGCCGTATCGCTGAAAAGATCTCAAATAAATAGCATCTTTGACAAGGCCTTGAGTTTGACAGAATAAAACTAAAAGTGACATTAGGGTGACAATGTTTTTAGTACATACATATTTGAAGAGTTAACAAATTTTAGGATGACCAGATGCAAGAGAATGAACATTCTAGAGTACTTTTTTTTTGAATTATTTTTCACATGTTATTGCACATGATGGCGGGACTTGAACGTCCTTCCCGAGAAAATTTTTCAATTTGTTTTCGATTTTTTTCAAGTACTTATTTATGTTTTATACTGTATACTAAGTTTTTTACAAAATTGCTTTTTATACAGGTGCCTATCAAATCAAATTTTACATAAGCATTTTACGTAGCAATTGATATCTTTATTGTGTAGGTACTAAGGTGTTACAGTTTCGACGCAATTTTAACAATGACTAATGCCTTATCTTATCTTCTAAACCGCTTTGCGATGAGAATTAAAATAATTATGGTATTGATAATAAAAATATGATAATTATTGTTAATCACAGTCGTATATTCGACGCGCTTGGTTAAGACATTTATTTCTTTTATATTATATGTATTCAATTATTTGAATTCTCGTATCTTCAAGGTGATATTTAGCATAATACTTTATTATTTATTTTATAATCTTAATAATTCCATTCCGTCTTTGTTACTGTGTTTTTTTTTATTTGGAAGGTTAAGTGCACCAAACATTTTATTTAAATTTTTCACATTAAATTACACGTAATTGTGTAATAGTTGGAGGCTATCAACACCTTTGTTACCTGTTTCTTTAAATAAAGGCTTGTAACAACCAAAATAAGTTGTACAGTTGGCATAAAAAGTATTTTAAGCGTAACGAAATTTTCGGACAGAACCGCGCCTAATTACTGTCTTAATTCGGCCCTGCGTTGACCGCTATTAGATGTATAGTGTATGTCATAAGTGGAAGCGTGAGAAAATCACACTATGCACGCTTAGGAAGTTATAGTCTTAGAAATACACAAGACACTTCACTGAACGCTCAATAAGAACAAAGTCGTATATTTTTATAGTAATTTAAGTAACTTTTATTAGTTCCAAATTTTCTTATATTATACATGATATTATTATATAAATTAAAAATCTAATTCGATCGAAACAAATTGAGGATACAGTGTTTGTACCGTGATACTGCTCTAAATAATTGCGCAATATTGATATTTTATTTACTATTGAAAGGTACAGTATATATCGTTGACTATACGTAGGAAGCAAATCGCTTCCGCCTTCAACTAGGACCGCATATAGGTTCCTTTAAAGGGTTAGAGTTTAACCCCGACAATTACCTACAATGATTACTATGGACAATTATGTTTTCGACCGTCACAGTTACAGGTTTTTATTGGCCCGCTTTTTAGTTTAATTACAAGTCTTTTCCACGCCTCGTTACGTGTCTGATTTGGGCTCAACCAGATTGTCAAATGTTAAATTGTTTTAGTTTCGTAGGAACAAACATACTATACAAAATAACGCAGCACAAAGAGACAGTAGTCTAAAGAAGCGTTCTTAAAAATATATAAAATCCTGTCGTAATTATAGATATGTACTGTACATCTCCAGGGTTTAAGTGGAAATGAGCGAGGCGGACATCAAAGGGAAGGGCAGATTATCGAAATAGCAATAACATCGAACAAAAACGACCGAGAGTAAATTTTAATCGATGTAGGTATCTGACTTCCGAGATATGTGATTCAAGGGTAAACTTCACTAATTAAGGAACACTATTTGCTCCACAATTATGAAATAAAAACTTGACAACTTTTTTGCAATCAACATTCCTTTTATTCTGTGTAATTCCTGTTTATTTTTATCTCGAGAAGAGTTCGCTCTGATTCTATAGTACAAATATGTATTTGGTATGGAGAGGAGTTTGTCAAAGACTTTTAATTGATAGAACAATTCAATCCCAAACACACAAAAGATATGCATTAAACCGGATGCCATACAAGAAAAGGATCACATAGAGGATACAATGACGATACGAAAGAACGTCAATGGCAATAGACAGTTGAAATCTAATAAAGTAACAAAAGTGAACCAATTCGTCCCCTGACAATCCATCGTCATAAATTTGTACAAGGCTCAATCACAAAAGAAGTGGTGAAAGACAAGTGAACGAATAAAAAGGTATAATACGCCATTTTGCCGTCACAAAGTGGAATCCATGTCTATCTGTCAAACTGGTCAAACATGAGAGAATTGGCGGGTTACCGTTATTAGCCGGCGAAATTTAAAAGGCAACCGGACGAGAAGAACGTCCAGCGACACGACCCCTTTCTAAATTCGACGAGCGAAGCCGGCAATACCAACTGTTGAAAACAAAAAAGACGCGCGTATAGCTTCTACGGTGGCGGAGTCCTTCTTTTTCCGCATCTATTGCTCACTGTATAGTTCGGGGCGAGTTTCATTTCGAGGAAAAATGATAAATGACGTGAATGATTGAACAGCCGGACACGAGTTTTGAATCTCCAAAAGAGATTTCGGTCTATCCGCTTTACATTTCATTCGAATTATGACGCGCTTCGAGCTGACAGCGGCGCATCTATGCGAATTAAAATGTGAAAATTTATCGGCCATTTAGCGAATTGTCGCGACATTGGCGACAATTCATAAATATTCACTGCATTTGTCGCGGCGCTTTTATAGCCGCCGCTGATTGACAACAGATGTCATAACATCAGTCAGGTATGCGTGATCAGAAAGCCGCATAAAAATACGCTGAACGCAGTGTTCATTGCATATCTTTTACAATGACGGTAGGCTGAATAGTTTTGCATTTGAAATTCGAAAACATCACAGTGACGTTGACAGCGAAATTGGCGTTGATTTTGTCTATGGCACGTGAGGTGGATACTGAAATGCATTGACAGGAGCCATTAGCAGCTTCGATGATTAGTTTCCGTCGGTTTTTAGCTTCGACGCGAGTCGATAGCTCGAAATTCACGAGGCATAGACAATTGGAATGCAATTGTACTTTTGTGGCAGTCGGCAACGAAATGAAGCAATTATAAGTTCGGGGAGCTCATTTATTGCCTGTCTATCGCTGCAGTTATAAAACAGAATAGATACTAAGTTTATCGTGTTTGTTGTTATTAGTTTGCGTTCTGATTTCCGATATACCTTTTATTGTTAGAATATTTTATGA